TCGATGTTTAAGTTAGATGTATAATTGCTGTTATTGAATGGAACGTCAGCCTCTGATCAAACTCTTTTACTTTTGGTACATTACAACATTTTGACCTCTGTTTTAACCTCCTTAATTGTTGTTACATGAAACTCAAAACTGCAGTGAACATGGATTTTCAAAATTGAGGTTCTTTTGGTTGTTGCTGACAACGTTTTTTCTCAGTAATAAAATGTATGTCAGCTCATCGTTAGGTTTAAAAGTGAACAATCGTCTGATATTCCGGCACCGTCTACTGTCAAAACATTAGTCCAGGTTCACCTAATGTCCTTCTGTCAGTCACCTGACAATTGGAGCTGCCTCTTTCGAATTTTTCGTAAATAGTTTAGTAATTCAGTGCTTTACAGTACAACGTACTCTATCGTTTTTACTAACTTCCAAAAATTTGTATGATTTTGTCGAAAAATTGAAGATACAGATTAAATATGCTTATTTTAAATCATTAAGCATAAGTTATAAGTTTTCTATAGCTATAATCTCAGTGTGAACACATGCGCAGTCGACAGCGGTGTAAATGTTTGATATTTCTAGTTGTAAGTATGCGATGATGTTAACATTGCGAGCTCTGATTTCTGTTGATGAGCTACAGTCTCTCTGATTTTATCAGTCAGCGTTTTTCAGAACAGTCGTTTAAATGCATGAAGGTAACTTACTTTCTGTTTCAGAACAACTGCTGAAAGCCAGATCTATCCAAAAAACTACGCATACGAATTATTTTGTATTGCGAGAGCAGTGTTTGCGCTGCCTAATTCCTATCCAAGGCGATTGATTATAAAAATGATGAAAGTTGTATTGGTCAGGTCCTTCGTTTTATCATTTTTATACAGCGGTCATTTCTTTCATGTGTGACGGTGAGAGGTTGATGACTGTCGACTGTTGAACTTGTTTGTTTGATCAGATTTGTTTCTTGTATGTTTGGATATTTTGCCCATGGTTGCTATTGTTCAGTAAAACGTTTGCAATGTGCAATTCACTAGTTAAATTTTATTCATTAGAGCAGAGTTTTTGAAAGTGGGATTAAATTCAGCAATCACATCAAAAGCAAAAATCTTGTAAAATTTGTTACTTTGATGAAGATGAAGACGAAATTTGTTACTTGCATGGAGACACGCGCCATGTGACCAACTCAGATTATTCAGGATGTGTCTGAAGTGTCAGATATGTATGCAGTGGTTTTAGTTTAAAGTATCCAGGTACTGGAAAAATTTTACAGCCGTTCAGATTTGGTGATTGGGTGCTCTTTACAATGGTCATGGAAATTACGGCATTCTTGCACACCTTGCGGGGTCGGAATCAGTTATGCGAATAAGCGATGTAGTTAAGTAAACGGGAAACATCAATGTTATTCTAGGAGAGATGGATTTTCGCTGAACGGTCTTTTCTCTGAACGCTAAGAAAGTTCGGTGAACAAGGGTGTTCTGTCATACAGGATATGAGGGCGTTGAGAACTGTTTTTGGGCATATACTTATTTTATTAATTTAGCTTTCTCTTGAAAGATCATAATTCTACGCCGATAATGTGTACTTTGTTAGTTTCTTTCTCCCAGTTACTGCTTATTTGTTCCTGTGATAATGAGATTACCGATTCTGCTCGATTTATGATGACGATGTGGCCTCAGGCTCAGTAGCGAACGCGGTCGCAAACATTGTGTTTAATGATCTATTATACCGTAGATATGGTGATAATTATGAGAGGTCTGCCAATTTTGAAATTCAGATGCATTGTGGTTTTGTTTGCGATAAAGAGTTTTATAACGAAAAGAAGAAACAAGTTGTTCAATCAAAATTTGATATTTTGGTGCTGAAGAAGCAAGAGACTGTTCCTGAATCATCAACGTTCTCGATGCCTTCTATGAGCTATTCTCGTTAACGCGAATCGTAAAGTTAACTTCGCAAACGCTAATCATAAAATTTATCACTGTCGTTTTGGCCTACCCGGTTCTATCTTCCATTAATTAATGCTAATTTCAAATACTGGTATTTAATTAGTTACATTAGTTATTCATTTATTTATTTGTTAACCGACAAGAATTATTTATTGATCGTATCATGTTAATATTTGATTTACGGAATTTTCAACGTACGTTGAGTTCATCGGAAGTTCTCCCCATCGTTTGTCGAGAACTGCCCGAAGTATAATGTTTGAGTTAACCGCTGCGTTTCCACTTTTACTTGAATTGACTTAGTACCCCACTCTTGAATCATATATCAGCCATGTTTTTAAGTTCAGTCTAGACTCCGATATCTGATCTCATTCATAGGAAGTAGCAAAGTCGAAGTATATTTACTGAAAAAGTTTTCAAAAACAGTATTAGCGCTGCAAGATGAGCTTCCGTATCGAGGACGGGTCAGTGGAACTGTTCTCTTCATTGTAAACGTATTTATTGCATGGTTAAACCTGTTCCATGATAACATGCCATGGTTCGTTCGAACCACCTGAATGTATTACAAAACACGCAGGGTTGATACTATGTTGTACCAGTAGTGGGCTTTTGGCTGTATACGGCGAGACAAATATATCCGAGAACATTTCTGGCTTACCGAATAAAGTGATAGGTCTTCCGTTGCCATGGTTGGCTGCACGCGAATCAAGAAAAATTTTGCTTAGAGGAATTTTAACGTTTGGTCCTTATTCGCATCGGTCATCTGGGAATGAACAAACTAGTTAGTCTGTTGGAGCCTTACCAGATTGATGGGACGCTTGACTGGTTACCAATTAAGCAATCAATCTAGCTTCAACCCACAGAAATGTTGATGGAGTTGAGGCAATGTTACGAGTTCTATTTTTGCTGGCTGTCATGTGAACCGGCTGTTTCAGTAACGGTTTCATCATATCACGGTGACCATCGACAACCATTGCATCGATATTGTGAAAGTCATGGCGCTAGTCCAGGGCATGAGTAACTGAACAAGAATGATAAACGGTACGGTTCCTATTAGTTCTCCTGTGTTTCGTTAATTTAGATATTAACGCTCAAAAAGTCTTGCGGATATGTATCTGACACAGCTGTTGCATACAGTTTAATAGATGATTTTATTCTCCAAGCTGGGTGAGGATCAAAGCATATAACAACAGTTGTCCTGAGTCTTTGCCCCTGAAAAATTACACTGATACGGTACCTTTTCAATTTTCAATATCGTCTTATATTCTCGGATATGCCTGGTACGTAAGATATGGGAATATGGGAATTGCAACCAAGAAAAGGGCGGAACTGTATTTGAAGCGTTTAAATATATAATCCGATCTGTATATTTGGCTTATGCGTATTTACGGTGACTAAAGATGCTTGATTTCATCCCTGAGCAGTCTGCCATCAGCTCTAACGTAGAGCCCAATGACGGATGCATAGTATGATACTGAGGAAGACAGATATGGGATTATCAGGGAATTGTAATATAATCAGATAATGGACAGATTTTTGTCGTTTTCTATGTACTGTGGAAGAAAGTGTACTGTTGGCGTCTTGTTTAATAACTCAAGAAACACCATCATAGTTATTTTATTCCTGGTCTGAAGTGAATTTTATGCGGTTATTAGGATCGCGGTTTTAAATAGTACTTGAAAATGATTAGGATTATCAGGCAAAATGAAAATTTCATCTATAATAGTGGAGGTGAAGTGGATCGGGAGTCTACAGAGAATTAGATTCCAGATGATTCATGTAGAATTAAACTATGAATTCGAATCCATTGCGATACCACAACGCTGTTTGTACATTAAATTATCAAATTTAAAATAAACAGCTAATTAATTGACGAATGAAGTCTACAAGACCAGATTTCACGGTGTGTAGCACCCACCTTTTGATCCTAATTGCTATGGTCGCAATTTAAGTAAGCCATACTTAAATGATATGTGAGCACCCTCAATGCCAGATGCATCTCGGATCACTTTATTCTTTAGAGCAACCTCGCGATCATCGCGAAAGATGTTTCAGAGGCTGATACTCCAGATGTGCTATCACAACCTCACAAGTTGTTTGTACGCTCAAGTAGAACATATTCGAGAGTGAATGACTCCCTCCTCCAAGACCAGAATTCACGGCATATTCATCACCCTCTTACTTGTAGTTGCTTACAAGGAATCAACATGTAGTATGAACAGGCAGGGGAGATTCTACGGATGAAAAAGGTCGAATGAAGCGCGTTCCATTCTATCGAGAACCTCCTTGGCAACAGCAGAAAAGATTCTTCGCTGCCGCCCACCTCTTCAATTCTTCCGTTCTGTGATCGATGTTGTATGGCTTTGAGGCATGGTCACTCACAACAACCAAAGAGCATTGGCGCCCTCTCACCGTGCGAGCCAATGGAGGGAAGAATTTTGGGAATCTCACCTCCTGATCACATCCTGGACAAGTGTGTCGGCTCATCGACGGGCGATGATCACTAACTGCAACCTTCGCGGACGGACTTGAATGGAGAAGGTTCGAAAACGCGAGGAATAGCAGAAGCGTTTTGGCCGGCACGATTTATTGCCGATTACCGGATGTTTACAAATTGTATTAAATTCGATGAACTGAAAGTGTTAACCATTCTTTGTTTGAAGCACAATGAAGGGGATCCATCAAAGACCTTTGTACTTCCAGCACATTTATGAAACTCTTTCAGACGATCAGCGTATTGTTAACCGGTTTTTCCGTTTCTAACATAATCGCTATGGAAGAAACTGGGATGATACTTACACGAACAGGTCAATATGAAATTATCGATATTTACGTCTTACTGCAGTATTATAAAAATTTCTTTATGTTGCATATGTTCATGGCGAACTACGATGTTTGGACAGATGACATGAGATATGGGTTTAAGTTGTAAAGTATAATGCACATGCTCGTTATCAGAACGATCTAAAATTTTGGAACGTTACACGTCGCTTCTGTAAATATTAAATTTTGTCAACAACGCAACCGCAGTATGCAAGATCGGCATGCATGATTTTCAGTTTCAGAAAGAAAATAACTTCATTTACTGTCATCCATACGGTATTTAGTTCCAACACGCATTTTAAGCTTTTCTTCTAACTGGTCGATCCTTTCGTGTAGTTTACGCTGCTGCTCAATCTCTGAGGTAATAGCGCTAAACCTCTCTTGTATAGACTGAAGGTTTTCCGATACCGTTTCTGCCACCTTTTCGGGAGACTCCACTTCGGCAGCAGTTTCGTCGAGCAGATTGTCTTTCCGTAAAATTTCCTTGCCTTTTTCTATTAGCATTCCCTTCGCATCCGGGAAGTCCAGCAGGGCTGACCACAAATCGACTTTAGACAAGACAAATAAATCTGTATAGCCAACACTTCTGATGTTCGCTGTCCTTCGGTCCGCATTTTTGTTACCTGGAATGTTGAGGATGCTCAGTTCACCAAAAACCGCACCCTCTTTAAGTGTTGCAAATACGGTAACCATGTCATCGCCGACAACCTGCAGGTGCCCGCGTTTAACGATGTACATTTCCTTACCAATATCTCCTTTCCTGCATATATAGTCTCCGGGACTAAACACCTGCAGTTTGAGCTTCAGTACAAGTTCGGCAAGGAGGCCTGCCTCGCAGTTTTGGAAAATCTTCACTTTACGCAACGTCTCGTAATGTACGTTAATGGCGATTTCGGCTTGCAGCTTGTTTGGAAGGGCGGTCAGGGGGTCTTCGTTGTTCAGAGCGTATTTGTTGGTCCACTGGTAGTCAAGCCAGCGTATGATTTTGCCCTGCAGTTCGTCGTTCACCTTGTGCGTCTGCATGAACTGCTTGATGGCATCGATCTGAAACTGGTACTCGGTTTTGGCGGCGTTCATGTTCGTGATCATGCTGCCGATGTTGCCGACGATCGTGGCGAATATC